GCTGAAGCCGGATGCTTAACCGACTGAGCCACCCAGGCGCCCCAAGGATAAGATATTTTTATTCTTATCTCTTAGAACAGTGCTTAGCACATGATTGTTATGCCATCATTTACATCAAACAAATGAACTACTGACTCTTAGTAGTTCATTATCCTATTAGACTTAACACGCATCTTAAGGCAGTGTAGTAGAGATGGAGAGAAGAGACTGGTTTCAAAAAATCTTTGTAAGTTGGAATCAAAATTAAGTAGCAGATTAGATATAGGAAGAGAGTTTCTAAGCTAGGGAAGCTAACCACCGGTCGTGTCACTACATGAGATTGGTATTCCAAGGGGGGGAAAAGGTAAGGAGTCATGATGAACTCAGTTTGGGGTATGCTAGGTTTAAAAAGGGTTTGGAGTCTGTCTAGAAAGAAATAGATATTAGACATTTAAAAATATGGATACAGAGCTTGGGATTGGTCAGAGCAAAGAGCCATAGATTTTGAGGTTACCTGTTAATGGTGTCTGAGATGATTGGAATGAATTTTTACCCAAGAAAGATGAAAGATAAGCATTTTGGAATAGTTTCCTTGAAGAGGTAACATTTGAACTAATGTGTTTTAGAAAGCATGGAAGGGCATAGTGAGCAGAGAATTATTTTACTTCCATCACTGATTGGGATCTTCTGATATCATTAATTAATGTATTTTTCTCTTTATTATTTCATGTGATTTCTGCATTTTATCCTATAATTAGGATATTAAATTTTTTTTTCTGACATTTATTCATTTTTCAGAGTAATAGAGACAGAGCATGAGCAGGGAAGGGGCAGAGAGAGAGGGAGACACAGAATCCAAAGCAGGCTCCAGGCTCTGAGCTGTCAGCACATGGCCCGATGCGGGGCTTGAATTCACAGACTGCAAGATCAAGACCTGAGCCGAAGTCGGACACCTAACCGACTGAGCCACCTAGGTGTCCCTGTAATTAGGATATTAATTCTGAAGATCATAGAGGTTGGATACCTGTTGTGGTATATTTCTCTTCTGGGCCAAATTCTACATAAAGTTTTCATCTCGCTGAGCATTTTTCCTTATCATTTTTCTCTATATGTTCTCATGTCATTGAACCAAAAATTGAATAACTGTTGTGATTTGTTGATTTAGAAAACTCACCTCTAGAAATGTTCTGTCTGGCTTAAGTGATTTTTATGGTGATCATTCTTATGATGATTCTTATGACAAGCTTGGTCCTTATGTCTATGTAATTGAGCACTCCTATCATGTCCCTTCTCAGTGTACTATTTCTGAGGCTCAGCAAGGCCCTCAAGTAAATCCAGAATGCTGTTAATCTTTAATGGCTTCCTCAGGTTTATGTGGGAAGAGTTTTAATGTCTCTGGCAGCACTGTTTCATGTTACTGTTTTCCATTACTTAAGTGTCATCTAATTTTTTTTATATTTATCTTTATAACACAAAGTCTAAGTATAGGTCCCAAATTAATATTTCTTTCTTCGTTGTTCCCCTAATTAGGCCTACTGCCTTATAATAAGTCAAGTATCTGAGGGGAAAACAAATTTTATTCCTTAGTTAAACATTCTTTGGTTTGAACAGCCTTGCTCAGGCCTTAGTACTTCATAGTGAGACTATCAGGTGAGTTGTGTTACCATCATCTACCAGACTGGGCATATATGACCATCACATCAGTTTCTGCAGAAATCACATTATTATTATTATTTTTTTACATTTATTTATTTTTGATAGAGACAGAGCACAAGTGGGGGAGGGGCAGAGAGAGAAGGAGACACAGAATCCGAAGCAGGCTTCAGGCTTTAGGCTCTGAGCTGTTAGCACACAGACTGACGCAGGGCTCGAACTCACAAACCACGATATCATGACCTGAGCCGAAGTCAGACACTTAACCGACTAAACCACCCCGGTGCCCCTGTCACTATTATTTTAAATGTTTATTTTTGAGAGAGAAAGAGAGCATGCAAGTAGGGGAGGGGCAGAGATAGAGTGGGGGACAGAGGATCTGAAGCAGGCTCTGTGCTGACAGCAGTGAACCCGATGTGGGGCTCAAACCGTGAACTGTGAGATCATGACCTGAGCTGAACTGAAGTTAGACTCTCAACTGACTGAGCCACCTAGGCACCTCTATTATTATTTTTACTTTAGCAGTAGCTCTTGACTTTTCTCCACCTAGCACAGCCTAAAACTACAACAGTAATGGTGGCATGCTTGATAGTGATTCTCCATTGGGATTTGGGAGTTTATCAGAATCTCCAGGGGTACTTATAATTTGAAAAAGTCCCCCAGGTGTGATTCTGATTTGCTCCCTCTTCCTCCTCCTCCTCCTCCTCCTTCTCTGAGAATCACTGTTTCATCTAGAAGCTTCAGCATAAATAGGCACATTTAGTGGTATATTATCCTTGCATAGATGAACTCCCTAATCCCCCACACCTCCCCTTTGAGTGGTCCCTAGTAGTTCTTTCTAATACCATGACTTATGAAACTAGTGTCTACCTGTTACCAAGGTTTAGCTACCACCGAAGCAGCCCTTTTAGTGTTTGGAAGCCTGCAAAACAAGGGAGCCTCTACTAGCTTGAGGGCCAGGTTTAATTGTGTGGTTTATTTAAACGGGAGCCTTTTGCAAACGCTTACTAGAGTCCAGGATTTATATTAATACCATTCTCCCACCCCCATCAATTTCATTCCAGTATTTTACGATGAATATTTTCAAATCTACACCAACGTTGATAGAATTTCAGGATGAATACTTGCATAGCCACAATGTAGATTGTTAATCTAGGTATAACATGATTAAGCAAGTAGATTAAAATGTTAATTGTACCGAAATATTCATCCCTCTGTCCATCTCTTCACCTTTTTAAGCATTTCATGGTAAATTATAGGTATCAGTACAACTTCCCCTACATACCAGCATTTCATGGTAAATTATAGGTATCAGTACAATTTCCCCTAAACACCTTGGCATGTCTATCATTAATAAGAGTTGAATATTTATTTATAGCTTTTTCTTTTTGATGTAAAATTTACATACAGTGAAGTGCCCAAATCTTAAGTACTCATTAGCAGAGTTTGGATAAATGACATATGTGAGTAACCCAAAGCCTTATCAAGATCTAGAAGATTATAACACCCTCTTTTTTTCCGCCCAGATTATTCCCTCTTGACTTCTATAGTTTCTGACTTAAAGGTAAGAAAAAGGCTTGTCAGTGCTTGTAGGACAAACAGGGATCAGTGTTTAAGGATAGATCAGTACATTTCTCTTTTCCATTGCCTAAAGTACCTTGTGTTTTAAATTGTATATGCATGTTTAAAAGTAGGATACTGAGTAAATAACTTATGTTTTCAGTTTTTAAATAATTATTTTGGGAAATACTGTATCTAAATATAAATACCTTATATCTATTTAGTTAAGTATTTTATAAGTCAAAAGTTCTAATTTAATGAAATGTGAAGAAATATGCATAGAAACATAAGTGGGGAAGAGAAAGGAATAAGAGGTGAGATGGGGAAAAATCACATAAATAATAACGTAATATAATTTACACTATGTATTAATGTGTGGCTAATTGATTATATATTATGTATATCTAACATCATGATTTGTCTATCCTGAAAACAGTGGTATGCCATTTATTCAAGAATATCAACACATAATAATCTGCCTTTAGGAAATACACATTAAATTCCTCTCACTGTTGGTCTTCGGTGTTTTTCATTTTATTTTTAATGCCTTTATATCTGGTAAATATCTCTTATTTGGCTTATTTTTAGAGTAATGTAACATACTTTAATGTATATCAGTACATTTCAAATATGGTATAAGTTTTAAATCATTTGCTTGCATTTTATGAAGAGTAACTGATAAATGTATTTCTAATAATTCTGGTTCCAAAAGGAGAAGCTTTGACAAAAGTAAATTGTGATATTTTCATAATAAAAAGATATGGCAAACATGCAGGCATTTGCATATCTTTCCTGAAATATTGCATACTGGGTTTGTCAGTGCTGGTAAGTCCATTTCAAGGATGTTTCCCTTAGTCCATTAGTTTGGATAATGAGCCCTATAAAGTACATTTATAACTTGTGGCACTGCAAGGAGAAGGATTCTAATTTTCATCCTTTTATCTAGACACATTGAAAGAAGATCAATAGAGGGTTCTATATGATTCATTGTCCCAACACATATCAGATGACAGAGACCTGATAATCTCCATGCATAACTGTTTTCCTTGCTTAGAAATAGCACTTGAAAGGAATCTTTCTGTGATTATCCTTTGAGGTAAAGTGGAAACATTAAAAGAAGCTTTATCCCTCTTTTTTTTGTTTGTTTAAAACATTTTCACATGTATGACCAGATAGCTATTGTTGAACAAAAGATAAAGCAACACTTAACAGAAAAATTAAAAACCTTTAGTGGCTTTTACAGACTGAATGATATAACAAGATATTTGACCAATTTTTCTTTCCTCCTTTTTCTTAGATTCATTAAGGAAAAAAAAGTCTGTTTTCTAAACAAAGGAAAAGCTTCTATGTTTCTAAACATTAGAAAGCTTATACTTATAGTGTAATACTTGTACTAACATTATTCTTAATGGAATTCAAAATAAATATTTAAATTATATTCCATGCTTATGGTTTAAACACTTCAAAATAGCAACAAGAATATATATTCTGTAATTTAGTGTCAATTTTATGTCAAAATGTGAAATTGCATACTGTATTAAAGGGTTTATTAGATTCAAAATTATAGCTGATATTTATTTTTTTAGTTGTGTAATCATTAATGAGAACTTTTTTGCTATGTTTATCTTCTTTGTAGATGTAAAGCAGTCATAGATCAGTTTGGTCAGAGAATAATTTCTAAGCATTTCCTTGTGGAGGACAGTTACTTTTCTGAGAACACATGCTCACATGTACAATACCGGTAAGGCACCCCTCCATCCTCCGTCCAAGGGATGGTGAAACATAGGAAAATTTAGCTGTGGTGATTATATTGACACTTCTGTATGTCTGTGTCCTTCAAGTTAGATGCAAATGTATACCAAACCAATAATATATCCAATATGTCTGCTGTTCTCTTATAGAGTCTGGTTGTAGAGGAGTACAGTCTAATTTTGACTCCTTTGCATCAGCTGGGGTTTGTCTGCAGCTCCTTTCACAGGCCAAGGAAAGATTAAAGCAGAGCTTGACTTGGTTTGGGGAGGTGACACTTTTATCACGACTTAAATCTTTGAAACATGCCTTCTGGTAGTTATGTAACTATAAATGAAACTTATCTGTGGAATCTGAATAACTGATGAACTGTTTTGTGCGTTACAGGCAAATCTCCAGGTCAGTCCTGATTACAGATAGATCTGTACTAAAAGCGGATTCAGATCAACAGGTAATTTTAGTTCTGTACTTTTTAATAAATATTGCTACATTAATTTATACAGTAATATGCATAAATTAATATTGGTGAAATAAAATGTATTAAGCCATAAACTGATGTATTTAATGCATTTTTAAAAATACCTAATGGCAATTCTGTAATAATCTTGGTTTTTTAAGATTTCCTTCTAGCAGAACAAATAATTGCATTCATTACATAAGGTAACAGATTTAATCTATGCAGACTAAATCCTAGTTTTGACAGCTAGTCTCTGAAATTGAAAATATATAGTTATGGGAAGAAGAAGAGAAACCCCAGACAATACATTTAAAACTCTTGGAGGAAAATGCTTATGGTAACCAACCCGAGAGCAATGGTGGCAATCTCACCATTAGGCCTGGTGTGAATGAGTACCAGCACACATCTGGTTCTGATACTTCCTCATCACCATTGTTCCTTTCAGTACCTTTTTCCTTCTCCTCACTGCCTGTTCTCTAGGAACATCTTTATGCATATGATTTTTCCTCAGTCTGTATTCTTAAATTCCAGAAGTATGCCCCCTTCTTCTGATCATATCATGCAGTGACTGATAAAATCAACTTACTTATTAGTTTCGTGTAACTCTCAGACCTTTTCTACGTGTTACTGCTAAACATAGGTTCCAAAAATTCCTTAACTTAGAAGTTTTCTGATTTAAAACACATCTGTTTTGCATATGAGCATAAATATTTTCTATTAATGATTGTGTAAACAATGAATTTCTTTTATATGCCATCCAGTGTTCTGAGATCTGAAGAGACAGTGCTAACCAAGTTAGGATCTCTTCCCTCATAACTTGCAGTCTGAAAGATACACGTATAGACAGATGAATAGCAGCTATAGTTCAACATGACAAGTGTGAACAAAGAATGGTACAGCAGCTATTTTAGTGCTCATCACACTCTTCTGTAATTGCCAGTTGACTTGTGTATCTTCCAGTAAACTATAAGCCTTGTGAATGTGTTGAAGAGTGACAGAGAGGCAGAAAAATGAAGAGAGAAAATAGAGACAGTTCTGTAGAAGCTGAACTGAGAAGAGTAGGAAACAGGAAGTGATTCCTGAAGAGAGATGTGGAAGTGAAGAGGGCTTTTCTTTTCTTTTTTTTATGTAGATTTTTATCTATATTATCTTCAAGGAGTTTTATACTTTTGTGTTTTACATGTAAGTCAGGGGGATCCTGGGTAGCTCAATCAGTTAACAGCCCAATATTGGCTCAGGTCATGATCTTACAGTTCATGAGTTCGAGCCCCGTGTCGGGCACTGTGCTGACAGCTCAGAGCCTGGATCCTGCTTCGGATTCTGTGTCTCCCTCTCTCTCTGCCCAACCCCACTCACACTCTGTCTTTCCCTCTCAAAAATAAATAAATGTTAAAAAAATTATGTCTGTGATGCATACTGTGTAAATTTTGGAAGGATATAAAATCTGTGTATAGATTTATTTTTTTTTAATTTATGTCCAAGTTAGTTAGCATATAGTGCAACAATGATTTAAGGGGTAGATTCCTTAATGCCCCTTACCCATTTAACCCATCCCACCTCCCACAACCCCTCCAGTAACCCTCTGTTTGTT